CAGCTGCCACGTTACCCCCAGCATATTATTTACAGGTCCCCCCAAGGCTCTGATGGCCTTTTCTCCTCTTTTGGTGAGGGGGACAGTGCGGGGAGGGGGCTGTCAGGGTCAGGGCTGCTTTCCCTCACACCCTGGCAAGCATTCGGCCATGATTTTATAGGCATTGACAGTAATTCCTTTTTTTTTTTTAAAAAAAAAAAAAAGAAGAAGTTGTTATCACAGCCATGTGCACAAATATTTAAAAAAAACAGTTGAGCTGGTACCATGAGTGAGGGAGTGTTTACAGGCTAAGCAGTCCATTGAACATCTGCATATTCATTTTTTAATATACAAATTTTTATATTTATATACCAATGTATAGACATATTTTTATCTGCTGGCCAACGCCGTACCCATAGCATGGAACAGGTGAACAGGAACAGCATCGCAGGTATTTTCTTGCCTCTAATTTCTACAATTTTCAGAGTCATTGCTTACTTAAACAGGGTCTTTTAGACCATCCCGTGCTTTTTTAAAGCATCCAATCAAAAGCTTACCTGCCAACCTTGCCCCCAACCCAGCAGGCAGGAGCTATCACTTGCTTTTGAAGTTTCTGCGTGACATTTCTCCCTGGGCTGTAAGGGGGAGACCCTTCCCAGGCTCCAAGCCAGGGGGTGTGGGGAGCTCTGTCCAGGCACAGCCCCACATTACAGACCTCCCGCAGCTGGGGCTGGGCTGGTTTCCATCCTGGGCGCTGGGACAAGGTGTGGGCGTGGGGCAGCTTGTGGCAGTGGGTGTTTATCTGGGGTTGGGCGATCACGGCTGTACAGCTGGTTTAACCCCTGTCCCCCATCCTGCTGCCAGCCCAGGGAGAGCTGATAGCTCACCCACCGTTTATCTCTCCCTCCCACCTCCCAGCGCTCACCCTCCCTCTTGCCATTGCCAGGACAATTCTCCTTCCACCTTCCCTTTCTGCTTTTCTTTCTTTCTTTTTTCAATTAAAACATCCTTCATGGCCACACGGTCTTTGCCACCAGCAAAGGGAAGAACATCCTCACAGTGAAGATTTCAAACCACCCCCTGCACATATATATATTTAATATAGAATTGTACAGTCTACCAAAAGGGCTGGGAGGGTGCCGATGCGACCTACTCTGTAATGAAACAGCCAAGGGATGTTACTCCTGATGGACCCTGGTGGTGGGAAGACCCTGGGAGCTGCCGCGCTTGGACAGGCTCCGGAGACGTGTCCCCACCTGGGTAGTTTGCGGCTCCGTGTTGGTGGTGCTGGAAGGACCATCCTCCCTCCAGCACCCTCCGAGTCTTGCTGCTGCTCAGCCACCAAGATGCACATGTCGCAGAAGGCAGCAGGCATCTTCTGTCTTGATTTTTTTTTTCTTTTTCAAAGTAATGTTTAAAGCCCTTCCCACCCTTGTCTTCCAATGGAAAATTTTGTTCATTTCCCATAAATGATTATTTTTTTTTTACATTCATGCTGCATTGCAAGTGGTGATGACCACTGCTCGGTGAATTCCAATATACTGGGAAAAAAACCCAACCCAACCTGTTTTCTTTTTGTCTGTCTCCTAATGCAGGAAATTTTCTGGCAAATAGCATTTTTTTCCCAAACTCAAAGCAGGTGCATTTAGAGGGAGTTTGGTTGCCCACATTTCTAATGTGTCGGAGGAACCTGGTGACATTCAGGCTCCTGGTGGCAGAAAACCTATTCCACAGATGACACTAGGGAGCAAGTATCGAGGGGAAGAGGCATTGAGATAAAACGGAACTAAAAAACAGAGAAGGAGAGAAGGATGTGTATGTCTGAAGTAATGAAACAAGAAATGCAGAAAAACCCCGAATCACCCAAAATTTGTGCAGCTCTTATTTTCAATCCTCATTATCTGGTTTTAATTTCAGCCTTTCTGGCAAACGCATGCTGAGGGCAGCCTGCACTGGCACCCCTGCCTGGGAACACCACCGAAGCCAAGAGCAAGTACCTGCTTCATTAGCGGGATTCCCACATTACTGA